CATACACAGAAACCCCCCAAAAATGAAAATAAGTCAATATTTGTAGACAACCCCTTGTTTATTTTAATCTATTTGCTTCAAATACTGAAAATATTGAACATGGGTGGCGAAATGACTACATGGGGTGCCAATTTGACCAAGTGCCGATTTGATCTCAGGCTTAAGGAGACAAAATTCAGCTAAATACCAAAATACGTTTACACATAACCCAGAGATCATTATTTGCTTTCCAAAATAAATTACTGTACCAATCGGAATTTTAACCTGTGACCCTTTGTACAGAATGTCTCTGCTCTACCAACTTAGCTAAATGAGTAATCCACAAGCACATGTTTAAGTATCAACAAGGTGAGACCTAATGACATACCGGCAATATCAACATCACTTACCCTAGCTGTGTAAGCGTAATTTCATTCCACCCTGTTTTTGTTCCGGGTGACTGTTTTTCACTAGAGAATATTGGATGTAAATAGCGTGAAAGCGTTTATCTTGATATCATTGTTTTTGTTGAGCCTGCGACTATGAGCAGGATCTGCTTACCCTTCCGGAGCACCTGAGATCACCCCCAGTTTTTGGTGGGGTTCGTGTTGCTTAGTCTTTGGTTTTCTATGTTGTGTCATCTGTACTATTATTTGTCTGTTTGTCTTTTTATTTTTGGCCATGGCGTTGTCAGTTTGTTTTCGATCTATGAGTTTGACTGTCCCTCTGGTACATGTATCTTTCGTCCCTCTTTTGTCACAGAAAGCTCGACATAGGGATAGTGATCCGGCAGCGGCGGTGTTAGCTTACTTCTGAAAAGCTTTATATTTTAGAAGGTGGAAGACCTGGATGCTTTATACTTTGTATAAAGATGCCTCATGTTACGAAGTTTCTGTCTGTCACATGTCCATTGTCCTTGACCTCATTTTCATTGTTCAGTGACTACTTGAAAAAAAAGTTAAGATTTTTTGTAATGTTAATTAATTTCTCTCTCATTTATATGAGTAATAGGATAACTATATATGGTAAGGTATGTGGGTAGCTTGCAAGGTCCTTATGCCCGTCAGACAGTTTTCACTTTACCTCAACCTCATTTCATGGATCAGTGAACAAGGTTAAGTTTTGGTGGTCAAGTCCATATCTCAGATACTATTAGCAATCGGTCTAGTATATTCAGTGTATGGAAGGACTGTAAGGTGTACATGTCCAACTGGTAGGTGTCATCTGACCATGACCTCATTTTCATAGTTCAGTGGTTATAGTTAAGATTTTGTGTTTTGGTCTATTTCTCTTATACTGTATGAAATACTATAGGTCTACTATATTTCAAATTGGTGTATGGAAATATTTTATGATGTAATTGTACATGTCAGTCTTGTAGGTTTTATTTGACCTTGACCTCATTTTCACGGTTCATTGCTCAGTGTTAAGTTTTTGTGTTTTGGTCTGTTTTTTGTCTTGCTTGACGGAGTCAAAAAGCGAGACATAGGTATGCTGTTTCCGGCGTCTGCGGCGTCAACAATGTATAAGTTTGTGATTAGATCTAGTTTATGGTGAACCACTAGTGGTAAGTTAAAGATATTTGGTATGCAGTTGTATTATTATTGGCACCACTCATTACCATGGAGATTATTTGGCCCCGCGCCCTCAGTTATGGTCTATTGACTTTGAAATTTTTGCTTAGTTTTCATGTATTAGTTTGTGATTATGTCAGTTAATGGAGAACCACGAGTGGTGAGTTAATGATAATTGGTATGCAGTTGTATAAGCATTGGCATATCTCATTTCCATGGAGATAATTTGGTCCCGCCCCCTCAGTCATGGTCTATTGACTTTGAAACTTTTGCTTAGTTTTCATGTATTAGTTTGTGATTAGGTCGGTTTATGGGGAACCACTAGTGGTAGGTCAATGATATTTGGTATGCAGTTGTATTAACATTGGTACATCTGATTACAATGGAGATTATTTGACCCTGCCCCCTCAGTTATGGTTTATTGAATTTGAAAATTTGCTTAGTTTACATGTATTAGTTTGTGTTTAGGTTTGTTTAAAGGGAACTACTTATGATAAGTCAATAGTATTTGGTATGCAGTTGTATTAGCATTGGCCATGTAACCTTCAGTCATGATTCATTGACTTTGAATATTTGCAAAACTTACATGTAAAAGTGTTGCTATTTTAATTTCAACATTTGCATTATCGAAATAACCAAAAAGCGAGACATATCTCTGTGATAACAGTTTATCTTAAACCATAAGCAATAGGTCAAGTATATTTGTTGTATTGAAGAATTGTAAGCTGTACATGTCTGCCTGGCATGGTTCATCTTACCTTGACCTCATTTTCATGGTTCATTGGTCAGTGTTTAGTTTTCTTGGTTAAGTCTTTCTTAGAAACTATAAGCAATAGCTAGGTCAGCTATATTTTGTGTATTGAATGATTATGATGATTGTAAGGTGTACATGTATTTCTTGTTTGGTTTATATGACAATGACCTCATTTTCTTGGATCATGTTAAGTTTATGTGACAGTTGTAGTAAATTAAAGCTTTATATTTAGGACTATCAACATAATATCAGTCTTCCCGCTGAACCACAGGCCCAGCAGCCCAGGCTTGTAAAATCCCTTTTGGGCCTGTAAAAAGCATCCCTACAGGCCAACAGAATCTAACTAAAATTTTCCAAAAATTAAGCTCTGGGCCTGCAGAACTAAAGTTTATCGTGAAGACTGTAATATCAATGATTAGTAAAGAAGGCGAGACATTTCAGCATGTGCACTCTTATGTTTATATTAGACCAGTTTATTGTTTACATAAATTAATAGGTTAAGAAATTAGAATACCCAAGTCAAAGTAGACAGCAGTTCTTTAGCAGTTTATTAGCATTCACAGTTCTTACTCGACAGCTGTTCTTTAGCAGTTCATTAGCATTCACAGTTGCCAAATTCAAGGCAATAGTTAATTTGCATATAGGTATTCCAATAGCATTCTATAGCAGTTTCTTAGCAGTTTATTTAGCCTTCACAGTTATTTAGCAGTTATTTTTGACGAAAAATTTAAATGAGATACTCAAAAACTGCTATCTTCTCTGAATATTCATGAGAACTGCTATAATAACAGCTATCAATAATGAATATTCATAGCAACTGCTAAGTTGTACATCCTAATATGGCTTTCTAAACTGCTAATAACTGCTATGGAATGCTATCAGATCTGTCAAAAGTTGGAATACAAAGGTACACATGAATATACAGTGTACAAGATATGATTGCAAAAATAAAATTCTAATATTTTACTGCAAGTCTTCTGGAAATTTCAAAAAGTTGCACCAACTTATATTTGTGATTTGGGCAGTAACTGCAATCAAATGACTCTATTTTAATCCAATAACAGACTTGTTAAGGGGTGTAAACATGCTTTGTGAGTACTGTACCTGGCCTTATACCCCTTATTAATTATGTCAGTGGCAGAATAATAGGAACAGTTAAGAATTATAATGCACTTTAAATATCAGTGCTTATAAAAAGCAACTTATTCAATAGGAGTGGTTACTTAAGAGACTATTTAATACCTTGACTAAGTGATTTTCAGATTAAAAGTTATTTTATTTTTATTATTATTTAATTACCAAATGTACTACTAATTTCTCTTCTACTATATATATTTTGTGTGGACCAAAAGAAAACAGTTATCTCCTCTTTCTCTTTTGGAATTAAACAAAATAATTCTTAATACATGTAATATATTATGTTTCCACTTTCTGAAAAAAATTTAAGTAACATATATTAATTTAATTAAATGGATTGTTTGGTCAATATTAAACAATCAGCTATATGTGACCTAGGTTTCCCTAATATTCCCTCCCCCTTTTTCAACTCTTTGATTTATTTTTGTTTTTTTTACAAAATTATATTAAAATATTCATATTTTTATTTTCAAATAATATCTTGCACTGTTAGTATATGCTAGTATTTTATTACAATCCTATCATCATCAGATATTCTATTTGAATAAACAACTATCCCCCCTTTTTTGGGGCTTTCCGTATTATTTCTGTTTTTCCCTACAAAGTTATGTTAGAAAATACACATGCATAATCAGTAACTTCAACTTACTGTACTGCAGGTGTGAGAAATTATTCCATTTAGCCCAAATTAAACTTCATAATTGACAAAAATACAGTTTTTCACTAGCAAGTATTTACACACAGCTTGGAGCCAAAATGCACATTTGAAAATGATCAAATAACCTTCAAATAAATGTTTACTATCAAGCTGAAAACACAGCCAGATCCAAGCATTTTTATAACAAAGATTAAAACCAAAACTGCTATCAAACTGCTATTGAACTGCTGTCATAACTGTTGTCCAATTGACAAATTGACAACAGTTTAGAAGGTACATCCAGACTGCTAAGATGAATGCTAAGAGGAATGCTAAGAAATGGTGAAATAAGGCAGTTTCTCAAACTGCTAGTAGATGGAATGCTATGAACAGCTGAAAGACTGCTAAAAATATGAAGAACTGGCAAATAACAGCTAATAAACTGCTAATGATAGCAGTTCAGTTTGACTTGGGTAGTTTTCAAGGAACCAGTTTCATAGTAAATAGATATTGACATTGAAGATGTTTCAATTAATCGAAACATTTGAAGATTAATTATAATTTTATTAAACTGGTGATATAGATTTCACATGAGAGGACAGCCAGGTGGCGCTGTCCAAGGTCATACTTCAGAGCTTGAGGATCTAGTTGTATTTTAGGGTGGGTACAATTTCACAAGAAATTCCCAAGTGGTGGGCATGTGAAATCTATATCACCAGTTTAATAAAATTATAATTAATCTTCAAATGTTTCGATTAATTGAAACATTTTATTAAACTGGTGATATAGATGATTTCCCATGAGATTTTAGAGCACAACTAGATCATCAATCCACGTTGAATTGTTGAAAAACCTTCTTTAGACCATGTTATTACCAAATATTTCAAGTAATTGTATCTTTTAATAACATATATACATTTGTACATTAATGTCCATCATCATGATCATAACATATATCATAAAAACAAAACATTTTACATTTAGCTACTTGATGGTAAAATCTTTTGAGCTAAATTACTTTCATTGTCAGTAATAATTGTTTTATTATAAAAATTTTGAAAAGTTTTTGCTGATTTCCACCCTGCACTTTTCATAATAGTGTCTAATTTAAGTCCTTGACCTAATGCAGCTAAGGTTGATGCTGAACGACAGCTATGTGGACCAAAACATTCAATGTTTATTCCAGAACTTTTCATTATAATTTTTACCCATCTAGCAATAGTACTTTTGGTGACAGGTTTGTAAGGTTTAACAGTAGAAATAAACACTTTTTGTTCTTTGTTCCGAAGAGTTTCTGTTTTTCTTACATACACCTCATAAGTTCTCAAAATACACAATTTTTCATTGATAATATATCTATCAAATACTAAAGGTTTCATATGTACTCCAGGTTTAGTTTGTTTTAACAATTCACTAACATAAGCAACCATTGTGTTTCCTTCAATTTGAACATTATCTAATTCTAATTTATATACAGTTTGACATCTTTGTCCACTCAATAACATAAACAACATAGCTAGTTTTTGTGATAACTCTAATAAAGACAACTGTTCATTGTCCGGTATTTTATCAAAATATGTTAATACTTTGTTAACATCCCAAATTTTACTATATTTTGGTAAACTAGGTTTTTTAGTGAAAACACCTTTCATAAACCTTTTAACTAAAGTTTCTTTACCAATATTTCTATCACTAACTAAACTACACAATGTTGAAATAGCTGATTTAGCAGTGTTTATACCACTGTAACCTACATTGTGTTCAAATAAGGAATTTAAGAACTCAAGTAATACTTCGGTAGGGGGATCAAACAAATTGATTTCCCTTTCACTTGAAAATAATTTCCATTTCTTGAGATATGATTTATATTGTTGTGATGTACTAAATCTCCATGATTGTAGAATGATGTCGGCAACATTGCTTGAAACTCCTTTACTTTTGAGATGTTCCCTGACACACAAAAAATCCCAAGTTGAAGATTTTTCACTGGATGTAGTTTTTGTAGATTTCCTGGAAGTACTAAACTTTTTTGTGGTAGTAAGTATGGTTGTTGACAAGTCTGTTGTAGAAGAATTGGAAACCATACTTGAGTTGTCCAAATTGGTGCTACAATCAATGCTTTGTTGACTTTGTCTGTAATTAACTTTTGCAGCACTTTTCCCAGAAGACTGAAAGGAGGAAAAATATAAAAAACATCAGAACTCGTCCATGAAAAAGTAAAAGCATCAATAGCCATTGCATTTAAATCTGGCAAAAAGACACATACCGTTGTTTTTGTTTATTAATGCCAGATGCAAACAAGTCAACTGTTATTTTGCCAAACACTTGTTCAACTATCTCAAAAACCTCTGGTTTTAACATCCATTCCATATCCTCATTAAGTTTTCTAGACAATTTGTCAGCTGTTACATTGTCTTTCCCTGGAATATGTGCAACGCTTAGCCAAATATTCCTATCAACGCACCAGTGCCAAATCTCTTTAGTAAGTTTATGTAAAGAAGGTATACGTCCCCCAAAATTGTGTATATAAGATACTGCCACTGTGTTATCAACATACAAACGTATATGTGTATCATGAAACATATGTCTTAATGATTGCAATGTTAATAAAGCTGCTTTCAATTCTAAAAAATTGATATGTTCCAATATTTCATCATCAGTCCAAAACCCATTATTAGTCAATTGGTAGGTTTTATTAAAACCACCCCATCCAGTCTTACTAGCATCACTATAAAAAATAACTGAAGGTTGTGAAATAGTCATTGACTTGTAGCTGAACATAATATTATCAATCCACCAATGAAGTAATTCCTTACTTCTAATATCCAACTCAATAATCGCATCAAAATTGCCTTGATTACCTTTCAAGGACTTATCTTTAAAATGTTCTAAATCCTTGAAATACAAAGGAGCATATTTCACTCCTGGTTCACTAGCTACCATTTTTCCTATTACTCGTGCTAAATCTCTGATTGTTACTTTCTTTTGATAGAGAAGCAGTTTACATTGTTCTATTAAACTCTTTTTCCTTTCAGAAGTTAACTGTAAAGTCATATTTAATGTGTTTATAATGAACCCCAGAAAAACAATTTCTTGAGTAGGTAAAAATACTGATTTTTCAGGATGAATTGTGAATCCTAATCCATCTTGTAAAGTAACAGTATCTTCAATATTTTTCAAACACTCATGATATGTATCACCCAATAACAAACTGTCATCAATATAAGGCACATTGACGTGTCCCATTTCACGTAATTTTCTATAAACAGGTTTTAACAATTTGGTAAAAACCCTTGGGCTGCTCGATAACCCTTGTGGAAGTACTTTGAATTGGTAGTGATCATTTTTCCATCTAAATCTTAAATATTTGTTATCACTTTCTTGTATCGGCACACTATAATACGCATCTTTCAAGTCAACTGAAGCCATATATTGGTTTAGTTTAATGTTGTTAATAGCAGTGTGCAAAGTTTCAATTTTGAAATGTTTTTTGACAACATTATCATTGAATGATTTGAGATTTAAAATTACTCTAACACTACCGTCCTTTTTTGGTCTAATGAAAATGTTAGAATAATATCCATGAGTATCATTACATGTATTTGACACTTTTTTCAATAATTTCTTTCCTTAAAAACTTTTCAATTTCTTTCTGAATTAAATTACTTTCGTGTTCATTAAATTCAATTGTTTTAGGAATAGTTATTTGGAATGGTATATTGTCTAATTCAATAGTATAACCAGTTAAAACATTTCTTATCCATTTATCCAAAGTTAGTAAATCCGAGTTGTGAATAAATACTGAAATCTGTCCTCCAATAAAATTATCTGGAGTATTGTATAACTTGAACATACAAGTACTTACAGATGCATTTAATGCATTGTCTTTGGTTTCTTTAGTTTCTTTTTGTTTTTTGCCCAGAATTTGTCCTTTGGCCAAAATTTGTCTATTGGCCAGTTTTTGTCTTTTGCCGGACCCCAATGACTGTCCATTGACCAATTGTGCTTTCTTTTTCCTAAAAAAACACCTCCTGATTCCATAGATAACTTGTCTGACCTTTTGTCATCTTTGTCCAGTTTGTCTACTTTTTCATCCAGGTTGTCACCGAATAAAAATTCTGTAACAGGTGTGTCTACTTCACACAATTTCCTGTATTTCCCTGGGACTATAGGCCTTATCATCTGCTTTCTTTTCCTGTTTGCCGTACAAATCCCATGAGTTAGAACTTTAAACAAATCTTTGAATATGGGTTTCGTTTCACTCATGTCCCCTTTGGTCTTAATAATGTTCAAAGCCTTGAGTACCATGACTAATGCTGAACTACATGTCTGAGTCACCGTTTGCATCGCCACATCTCCTTCTCGCTTGGTTTTTAACACCTTCCATAATTCTCTGTTTACCAGAGGTACCTAAAAAATCAATTGAGCATTCATAAATGCTTGACCATTTAATCATGATAATAGAATTAATATTACCGTTGATTAAAAACGAACTTCAGTCTCAAAACCATTATCGTTCCATATATAGATATACTTTTTTGCTATATTTTGCTTGATCTTAACTTATACTTATATCTACAGCAATATAATATATAATTTTAAAATATACCTTTATCTTTTTACAATTTAATGGCACCAAATATTTGTCTGTTAACTTTTGATACTCCTCGTCTTTTAACGGTTTCTCAATAGCTGTTTCAGCAAGTTTTGCCATAGCACTGTCAATCTCAGGACCAAACTTTTTGTCCTCTTCATATTCTTTCTCTAACTCTAGAAAGAAGTCTTCGTCTACCTCATCTAGCATTTGGTCTAAAGAACAACCAAAATCTTGGTCATCTTGTTCCTCCTCAGACTCCATATCGTCATCTGATATGTCTGATAATTCAGGAATGTCACTAGCACTGACAGTTACTGTCCTATCGGACTCTTTTTGTGGATGAGTTTTTGCTTTATTCAACTCTTTGCCACTGACTTTGTCTTGCAATTGCAGAATGTTCACGGCTAAATTAGCCATAATCTCTGTTTGAGATTTTTCCATGCTAGAAAACTTGTCCATCATGTCTTTTATTGTTGGACTGTTATTATTTTCAGTCCCGTTAGTTTCACTTTCACTTTCCGGGTTCCCGGACATGCGCAGTATACCACTTCCCGCGGACGTGCGCATTGCATCTGAACTTCTATTCATTACACTTCTAGTGTTAATATCAGTATCGTGGTTTCCCATCGTTTCTGAAACCTTTCCTGATTTAATTTTATAAATTTCTTTTGTACGACGTTTCACCATTTCGGCAAAATTGTTCCTTTCGGACGTCGATTGATCAATATTATTTTCCGCCATTTTGTTGACCACTTTGGTCAATAGCAGTGTTAATCCAATAAATCCACACGATTTTTAAGCCATCACACAAAAATTACGGAATATCCATCAATCAAAAAAGTTAATCAATAAAGAGAAAATACAAAAAATTCAACAAAATAATACAACAGATAAAAATGTCGAAAAACTTATCAAGCTCATTAAAATGCACGTACGACCTCGGACAACAACGTGACTGTAATGACCTTGGACAGCGCCACCTGGCTGTCCTCTCATGGGAAATCGTCTATATCACCAGTTTAATAAAATATGATTTTATATCGAAGTCTACCAAAACGCAAATGCACAGAAAATCTTTGGCAATCCAGTATATATGAATAATACAATTAGTGACAACTTATAAGCATATATATAAATGATTTAATTGATGGTTTTCATTAGAAAAATTATCAAAATTTAATTTGTAAATAAATCATTATATTGTACGTGTTACATATATCATGTGTTCAAAGTGAGTGCTAAAATAGTTCATCACTGTATATGAATCTTAAAGACAATGTACTAGTGTAATAACTCCCAGTTTCATTCCAGGTACAAAATCACTAGTGTATAAATAAATAATTCCTGGTTCAAAATCACTAGTGTAATCATTCTTAGTTCAAAACATTTATGTGAACATTCAATGGATGAAAAACACTTAAGTTCACTTTGTCCATTTTTTACATAAATCAGCTATGCAAGTTAAATAGTTAATTCAAATACCCCCCAAAAATACCAAGCCCCATTTTTTATACACTTCCCCTTCAAAAAACTCTCTATAGAATCTTATCAAGAGTGGTGGATATTTTACACTGACCCGGATAAAAAACCCTAGTGAATTTTTGTTGCTGGATAATAAACACTAGGGATTTTCATCCTACAGATAAAGTACACTGGCGGAATCAAACCACTGTTACAACTGTAGGTTTTACTTTTAACCGCCCCTTGGTTTTTTTGTGTGTTGCTTGAGTGTTTTGTGTGTGGTTATAAATACAATTTGAAAATATGGGGAAAAAATTCAAAAAGTTGCCATATAATAATAATAGTATAGGTAATATAATAATTACATATTGTGTGAAAAGATTGATTGCTAATGGTTTGTTTATATTTTCTTTGTTGAAGCTCAGTGCATAGACTGCAGTTTTTGGCAATTCTCAACAAGGAAAGAAAACTTGAAACGTACAGCAACCAAGATACAGATATTAGCAGTTATTGAATATGTTAAACTTTTATTTTAGCGTATTCAACATCACCTGATTTTGTACTTTAGTTGTATTAACTTTTTCTGGCTTTCTAATGAACATTGAAAATTTATACTACTCTTATTGGAGACTCAGTTGCATATTCCTTATGTCGTAACAACAATACCCTTCCCTTTTCACGAATGTGACTTACCGAATTAGACTATTTACCGGATTTGTAATAACATAAGCAACACGACGAGTGCCACATGTGGAGCAGGATCTGCTTACCCTTTCGGAGCACCTGAGATCACCCCCAGTTTTTGGTGGAGTTCGTGTTGCTTAGTCTTAAGTTTTCTATGTTGTGTCATCTGCACTATTATTTGTCTGTTTGTCTTTTTATTTTTGGCCATGGCGTTGTCAGTTTGTTTTCGATCTATGAGTTTGACTGTCCCTCTGTTATCTTTCGTCCCTCTTTTGCAGCATACATTAAATTTAAATTCAAAAGAACACACATTCTAAAATTGAGAATCATTTGAGAATTGAAATAGGGAATGTGTCAAAGAGACAAAAACCCCACCAAAGAGCAGAAATAATCCAAAGGCTACAAATAGGTCTTCATCTCTAGCCAATGTAGAATAAACAAACACACAGCACTACGCACAAGTCCTAGTCACATGTCAGAATAGGTACATTGTCAATGAAGAAACATAAATTTACAAAGTTCTACTATCAATTACTGACAATTTTTTGCCAGTTCCAGTGAGTGAGACTTGAACTAAACTGATTGACAGATTATGTCTTCAATCATCATATGAAAATCAAGCACAATCCCTCCTGTTTAGGGTGTAGTATCATACCATCGTTAAATATATGAGAAGAACATAAAATTGAGAATGAAAATGGGGAATATGTCAAAGAGACAACAACCCGACCAAAGAGCAGACAACAGCCGAAGGCCACCAATGGGTCTTCAATGCAGCGAGAAAATCCTGTATCTTGCCAATAATTAGTTTTAGAATAAATGTGTTTACATCTGATTTAACGACCCTACGTATGAATGAATCAATATTAATTCCAAAATATGCCATCTTTAATTACCCAAAAACAGTATCGTTACTATATATCTCTTCTTAATAAGTCAGATTAAACTTTTATAAACTGCATGAGGTTTACTGAGGTGACTGACAACATATTGTTGTGCTAACATATTGTTGTGCTTTGTATAGAATATTACCATAAAATATTTGATGTGAAATTTAATTGCACATCAAAGTGAAATACCTGAACGTATAAGATGTCTACATGTTGATCTTTATTTACATGTATGAATGATGTCCTTGTACCGATTATAATATTTTGTAAATGTTTTGACTAGTTTGTGATATCAAAAACTTTGATGTAATAATTTTCAGTAATACAGAGATTTCTGCCATTAAAATCAAATATGTTGTGAATACATACACGAGCGAATCGAACAAGTTCAGATATGTATAAACGTTACTCCATAAGATGGAGCCAATTGAATGTCAATAAATGTTTCATATAATTAGTTCTTGAATAAATTCCAGTAGTATTGCTTTTTTCAAAGATAATATTGTAATGATGTCATTTTTTTTGTGGGGAAAAAATCCCTCTAAACTATTCTAAGTTAGCTAATTATTCACATACATGAATAAATCCTTATTTTCAGGTACAGATGCCCTTAAAGTTTTTGATGAAGTAAAGAGCAAGATACCATCCCATCCAGCAGTGATACGGTATGACCAATTCCCAGACAATATGACAAAGAATAACAATTGGACACCAACAGTTCACATATGAGAAGATGTTTTTAGGGTAAACCACATTGCACAGAAATTATTCAAATAATTTGAAATAAAGATAAGCAAATCTTTAAAGAAAATATTGTCGGTCTTCAAATGACACAGAAATTCACAACTATAGGTCAGCATACCCCTTCAACAAAGAGCAAAACCAACACCACATACATGACATAGTCACCTATAAAAAGCCCCAAAATAAAAAATGTAAAACAATTCAAACGAGAAAACTAATGGCCTAATTTATGTAAAAAATAATATGTATTACTCAGCAACAAACAACAACTACTGAATTCCACGTTCCTGACATGGGACAGGCACATACAAATGTGCAGGGTTAAACTAGTTTGAAGACGCCAACCCTTCCCCTAACCAGGAACAGTGGTGTAACAGTACATCATAACAACAAACTATAAAAATCAGTTGAAAAAGGCTTAACTCATCTCATGGATATACGAATAGAAATTAATACATGTAACGAAAACACAAATTGGACATGGATGAGTACTTGTACATCCTAAGAACAACAACTAGAAAACTAACGGCCTAAAGTAATTAATGAACGAAAAACAAATATGTCAGAGTTTTGTGCCGACCACCTTTCCATTTTAGGAGGTGGTCGGCTTTTTTTTCAAATTCTGGATTTTTTTTCAGTTCAGCACCGTAAAAATTTAAATACTAATCGCGCCTCGCTGATTTGTTTTCATAGACAATAATGGCCGATCGTCAAATTAAATATGAATACAATACTAATCCTTCTTTTTATGACCCCCACCAACAGTAAAAAAACCTGGTTGGAAATGTTTTAAAAAAAAAACAACACCCGGTTGCAAGTGGTTTTTTTAAAACACCCACCTTACCTTAGTGAAAAAAGGAGAACACTGTATGTTACACAGCAACAAGTGACAATTTATTAACCACTGTCAATAACAGGATCCTGACTTAACATACACTAAGTATAGATCTGAGAGTACTCGCAGTTACTGACAGCTAGTTCATGTAGTTCAAAGCCAATAAGAACTAATAAAAAAAATCATGCATCTAAGACTAATTAAATTATCAATTAATACACATGCAACATCCAATGGATTTAGTGAAAAGGCATCATAAACAGTCCGAGAAAAACATGACCTTGTGCAATGCCAAGATACAGGTATTGACAGATTGTAGACCCATGAATGTGCATAATGTATATAACTATGATATTTGGTTTGATTTTAATTTACTGATAGCATAATCAATATTAATACCAATAAAAGCAATATTCAAAGATCTAATTACATTGTTGACTTTGGTAACCTTTTCGAATAAGTTTATTTAAAGGATCTATAAGTTTACCTGGATCGTTTCTAAATTTCTTGGCTAGGAAAACAATTTAACATATGATCAACATATACATTTGTACTCATATTTGTTCTTTTTTTCTTTTGAGGCAGACTTCATGTATGTACAGGAGCTTCTAAGGAGGAATTGAAAAGAAGATTGCATTCGATCGATCTCCTTAACTTGCTATAAAGATGATTTCCTTTTATTGAATAATTCAAAGTATGGTGACTTTGTTGAACGCATGTATCCCATTGAACTTGAAATAAAGGATACAACAGATACAGGTAAATCTGCCTCATATATTAACTGATATCTAGAAATAGACAATGAGGGTCGGTAAAGAAAACTTTAAAGACTAAAGAGATGATTTCATCTTACTAATGATGAACTTTATATTTCTGCAGTTACCATGATCCCAATATGGCGGAGGTAGAAATAAGTAAAATCGATTTCTGCTAATTTTCCGTTTAAATGTGTTGTTTTCAAGAACTACTCAGCCGCCAGGTTGATCTGTACTGTTTTGTTGTGTATGTGTGTTATAAATATCATGTATGGCCTCGTTACCGAAATAATATCCATCAAATATTTTAGGAAGATAATCGTAACTTAAATAAAAAGATAATGGCAACTTGTGGACAAATCACTTGAAAGATAATTGTAACTGCAGAATATTTCAATGATAATAGCTGCTGATTTTGATTGAAAAAAAAAAGAAAGATCACTGGTGTTAAACTGATCATGGTAACTGCAGTTACCACTATCCCAATATGGCTGATGTAGAAATAAGTAAAATCGATTTCTGTTAATTTCTCTGTGTAAACGTGTTGTATTCGAGAATTAGTCTGCTGCTAGCTAGGTTGATCTGTTGATGGGGACAGCGACTATATCTAAATGTTGCTTGAAAGTTTGATAGTGTTACCAGAAATAGTGAATACATAGTTATCTCAAACTAATTTACATTTTGCTTTGTAGATATATATTCTATATATTTCACAAAAGTTTAAATTAAGGGTAAATATTGATTGGTATTTAGTATACTTAAAGAGTTAAAACATGTACATGTATTCATTAATTTAAATGATTTTAAAGTTTTATTAGATAAAAAAATCAATCAATCAATAACCGTTTTAGCGTGCCCTTAAGCTTAGTACTGGCAACTAGTGGCTTGTGATACTTGCATTTCACTTACAGATATATCAACCTAGTAGTAGTTATAAGATTTTAAATAGTACCAATGATCTGGCGCTGCAATCAAAACCTAATATGCTACAAATGCCAATTACCATATTGATCAAACTATATTCTGTTTTTCTGGACAACTTGATATATCCTCTCTCTGAAACACAATTTGTTTTGACCTGCATCTCATTGAAGAATGTAACTATGATTTCCCATTTTATGTTATGGCTTGATGGACAGACCGTATATAAAAAAGCTGTGATTAAAATAACTTGTCAATATTTTATGCTCAACCTATATATACCCATCACAATTTTCACAATTATAAATTAAAAAATAAACATCACAAAAAATATTCATTTAAATGTAACGTCCTATGCATACCAGTTATTTTTTTTTAAATGTGAACTGTAGAAGGTCATTATTTGTATTGATATGCCAGGAATAGATTGTCATTATTCACAGTTATACTGTGGAACATGCTTTTTCCCCAATCTGTCAAAATTATATTAAAAAATGTCTACTTCTTTCAGGTGAATCCTTGCTGGGTCATTGAAAAACCTACTGGAAGTTCTTCTGATACTGGAAATTGAAAACAAATGGTCAGTATAATTTACATTACCAGCATTGTATAAAATTCCTGTGGTAAAGAGGATTGCTTCAGTAAATGTCAAGCATTAATACTTCATTTCCACTTGATATTGACATTGTTGATGTCGGTGAATAAGATGATATTATATATGATGTTTTACAGTATTACAAAGGAAAATAATAGATTTGTAAATTACCCAAGTTTATTCTGTTTATTTATATCTTAATTTTCTCTTTCCTTAGTTACAAATGTTGTTTTAACTTAATTAAGTGAGTGTTGAATGTAAAAAGATGGAGATGTGGTATGATTACCAATATGACAGCTATCCACAAATGATGTGGATATAAGGGACAATATATAATGCCTTCCACAATGAGTATTAAAGATCTGAACATGACAAATTAAAAAGAATTACGACCAGATTTATGACAAAATAAAATGAAAAACAATTAATATGGAAACTTACCACTGAATTTCAGGCTCCTGGTTCCAGATTTTGGACAAGCACATACAGATTTTAATTTGGTTTAACTTGTGAGCACTGAACCAAGGAATATTAACAATGTGTAACAAAAAATCTCTCCTTTGGCTTACCTTCTATTGAGTTCTTGCATAGAGTTTTCCATTTATCAGGAAACTGACTTATTTAATTCAAGAAATCCACAATTATTTCTTTTTATTTTTCTCTTTATATTGCATTTTTTCCTTAATATATCAAAAGCTATAATAAGAGAACGATACCAAATGAACATTCAAAAGACCAACAGACAACCAATAGTGCACAAAACATATAACATTAAAAAGACTGAGCAACACGGACCCCACCAAAAACTGGGAGTGTTCTCAGATGATCTGGAAGGGTAGGCAGATCCTGCTCCACATATGACAATTGTATAGATGTAGACATAATTTAACTTGGTTTAACTTGTGAGCACTTAAATATCAAAAATGGTCTAGTTTCTGGTGTCAAAATTTATGAAACCTGAAACTGTATTAAATGTTTCTCTTTTGTTTGGGACAGAATTAAGTATTTGTTTATGTGCATCACTAAAATATGCGAGACAGGCCCTACACCTGACAACCTCATGTTTTTTTATATGACTGCAAAAAAATTTTTGGGTTCGTATAATGCTATGATGCTGTCGTTGTCATCGTTGTCCGATGACACATTTGGTTTCTGGACAATAAATTTAGTTAAAGTCAATTGATCTCTATGAAATTTTACAAGAAGGTTCAATACCACAAAAGGAAGAATGGGATTTTTGGGGTAATGGTACCAACAGTTTAGGATTTAGGGGCCAAAAACAAGCATTTTTTTAGTTTCTGGACAATAACTTGTGTGTAAGTGTATGTGTAGGATTAAATAGTATCCCCCATGAAATTATGTCCCATGGACAAAATTTCACGGATATGACCTGTGAAATTTTGTCCAGGACAGAATTTTATTATAAAATATTGTCCACTTCTGTGTAAAAGTGTCCCTTGAAAAGATATTCTATTTTAACCTTTGTTGGATATTTTTTCATAGTGAAATCATGTCCAAATTGCATAAAAGTCTTGTCTAATACCAAACAATTTAATTTACAATAAATAATAAGACTAAATCGACATTTGTTTTTAAATATACAGTATTTAACAAGATCAATAATATCATGAATAATATTCATAAATACTCGATTGTCGTTTCTTCTTGCGCATACGTTTGGGTCTTGGAGGCATGTATATAAAACATTTCATTGTTTTTAATTTCAAATTGCTTTGGCTTGGCCTTCCTTCTAAATGATCTTCTTTCATTATTATTAAACTCTGGAGGGTATTGACCACCAAACAAAAAGTCATATAGCTGTTTATATTCACCACTTTCCATATTTGTTCACATCTGTGTTGTCTTGATTTAAATTTCAATTATGATTTAACTAATTGATTAAAACATTTCAATGATTGCTAAATTATGTCCCTAATCTTTAGGGACAGAAAAAAACAGCTACACTATGAAAAATTGTCCCATGTGACATATTTTTATAAAACATCTATGAAATTATGTCCAAGTACTAGGGACAATTTTTCACTAAGGGAGACACTATTTTATAGTTTACAAATGTGATATTCTGTCCCGTGAACGAAATTTCACAGATGAACTGTAAAATATAGTTCAAGAAGACACAATTTCATGGGACAATTTTTTGGCTTACATATGGATTTCTCTGACATTGTACCACAAGGTTCCATATAACAAAGGGAAGGCTGTGATTGAGTTTGGGGGTAATTAATTGCCCCAAACATGCAGGACTCAGGAGCAAAAAAGGGGCCAAAAACAAGGTTTTTTTTCTAGTTTCCAGACAATAATTTGTGTTTAAGTATATGGATCTCTCTAAAAGTTGCCTACATGGTTCCATTCTACAAAGGGAAGGCTGGGTTTGAGTTTAGGGGTAATTGCACCAGGGGGGGAGGGGGGGTTTCAAAAAATTTGGGATGATTTTTTTTCCAATTTTATAAGGGGTTCATATTTTTTTTCAAACTTTTTTTAATTTCAAATTTTTTGTAAAACTTTTAAGAAGAAATCTTTAAATGCGCAGTATTGCGCAATTGATTTTTAAGATCTTTGACAACATTTGTTTCGTGTCAGAAACCTATATTATGTAAAAAATTTGATCAGAATCCAAATTCAGACAGTATCAAGCTTGAATATTGTGTCCAAATTTGCCCCAACTGTTCAGGGTTCTACCTCTGCAGTCGTATCAGGCTGCATTAAGCGAAGCATTTTATTAGTTTCTTTGTTGATTTCATAGGGATAGGGAAATCATGAATTTTATAAATATCAAACAAAGTAAATATATCTTGTGGTCTAGTGTGTTTTAGTTGCATTGCATATCATATCTGTTATCCCTTGTAAGAGAAACTTTTCTTACGTTAGACTATATTTTTTTTTCACAAAATAAAACAAATTATTTTTTTCATATTACAACACGGACAGCATTTTTTTTTTACCACCACCACCCACAGAAATAAAAATAAATTAGAACAACACTTCCTTTGCATTTTGGTATTTGAATATTTCAAATACAACCACCCACATAAAAGTTTAAAAAAAAACCTTCCGTGGGGGGACATAATATTTTCTGGAACAGCCCTTATATGTTTTTTCGGGGGACATAGTATTTTCTGGAACAGCCCTTATATGTTTTAGAATAAAAAAAGTAGATTTCAAATTTTATCTTTTTCAAGTTGATAAACACAAAAAAAACCTGTGATAAATTATCTATATTACTCCAACCCAGCTAGTTATCAGATGTGGTATTAAGTTTGCCAATGCGACAACTCTCCACCAGAGACCTAATGATGTAGATGTTAATGATAAACAACACATTGAAATGCCTACCTGCTCATTCTGGATATGACATCAAATTTTTCATTATCGAAACAAAATACATTTTACTATCTGTAGCTAACGTTATTTTTATACTCTTCATAGATTAGTTTTTGCAAATTAAACTATCTCTTGCAGATGGATTCTATAATCAGAGGGGAGATGTGAAAAAAATCTTTATTTAAGTAGGTTGATAATTCAAATTGAAAAATTCAATTTTAGCACTAACAGGTGGTTTTGCATTTCATTTATTAAAAGTATTATAATTAATAGCCATGAAACAATGATTTTATTTTCAGGTCATTTTTGGAAGAAAATTGATAGAGGAAAGATACAGATACAAGAATTTCAAATTTGAAATGCTTTTAATATTTCTTTTGTATATGACCACCAAATTTTGGCAGTCAAATAAGGCCAATTGAAATTAATTGATAGATTTTCATCCCGCCCGACCCTCTGAAATCGTCCCGCCCCGATTTTTTTAATTTTTAAAAATATACGATTTCCGGATTTTGTTCATTTCTGTTACCGGTAACCGCCGATAATTTCGTTTCATTTAAACTTTCCATTTTCAAATTTCGGTTTTCGTATTTCTTCGAGTAATATAAGTCGACATATTCTTCTGCTCAATGATGACAATATTATCTTTTGAGAATATAGATTGATTACTAGAAGGACATAAATTATTCGGGTTACGAGTAATTGGCGATGTCCAAGAACCGTAATCGCGGTATGTCACAAATTTCAGTGAATATAAAACCGTGAATTATTTTATTTATACAATGACATTGTGTAATGAAATTTAGACTGAATGATATCCAAAGCGCAAAAATAATGGAACACATTGATACAAAATCATGACTGGAATAAAGAAATTAACAGAAGCACGAACCGTCCGATTTATGACCGTATATTGAGTACAAAGAGTCGGCCAACGTACAAAATGTATTATAGCTGCCATGGCTTAGATTTACCTCCAAGACTGTTGTTTCAGCCCTTCAATAGAGTTATAAAACAACTTTTTCTTTTTGGTTCAGTTCATGGTTTACATTGTAATTATATTTGCACCTTGCATAAGAATCTTAAAAGCATGAACCCTAGAATTTTCAACACAGTTTGAGTTTTCATTTCACTCTGTACTCATAATATTTGTGTTGCATACCAATGCATATGCTTCATTTTATGGGCACTATAAATCATAACTTAGAAAGCAAAAAATGATCTATGTAATCTAAAAGAGAACATTTTTCCACGTTTTTGATATTTACTGACAATCGGTTTCTAAAGCGGCAATTACATGTAGAACAATGGTTGCCAATCGGAAATATTGATTTAAGAATTTTAAATAAAATGTAGAATTCCTTATATAAACATGATATAAGCTTATTATTACCCTTGTACATTGTGTAAATGAACAACACGTCTCAAAATGGTTTAGGAGGAATTAAAAATAAAAAAAATAAAATCCGTCCACCCGCCCCATTTTTTTCAAAAATCTGGATGAAAATCTACTATTTAATTTTAGTTGGCCTAATGGTATCATTGTTATCTTTGCCATATAAACAAATATACCTGGTAAAATTTGTTCATTAGAGGAAACTTTAATTACAAATATCTATTCACATTAGATGATTTTTTTACCAATTTTCTAATTTTAAAAATAAATCAATTGTTTTTATTCTGTGGGATTCAAAATGTTTTGCCATTTATGATAATCTATTTATTTTTGTCTGAAATACATTTCACGAAAATTTCAAATTCAAAATAAGGCACCTACAGTGCATACTCCATCACAAATTGAGGTAATGTTAGTATTGATTCTGTGGTAAATTTTTTGCATTCATTATTTTAATGTGGTCAACATATTGCTAGGTCATCATATTAGTGTGTCCAGCATATCATGGATTCATGAACAGTATTGAGTGCAAATTAGCATAAATATTTCAGAGTTGTTGTCAATTTATGCTCTACATAATTTTTTATTTTGGTTATTATTATTATTATCCACAGTTGTTGTGCATCATAATTTTTAGCTCACCTGGCCCAAAGGGCCAAGTGAGCTTTTCTCATCACTTGGCGTCCGTCGTCGTTAACTTTTACAAAAATCTTCTCTGAACCTACTAGGCCAAATTTGACCAAACTTGGC